AAGCCTACAGTAATTAGGACGGTTATAAGATGGTGAGATACAAATCTCTGATCTAATCGAAAAGGAGGGACAGGATGAATTTTCCTCTAAAATGTGATATGGCTTTAATATGGGAATGCACATGATTTTTGTAATCAACATGTTAATTAACCTCAGTAGTCTACTTTTCATGCAAATCAGTGAATTCATTGGATCGTAAACCTATCATGATCTTACAGTAAGGCTGTGCCGTGAGAAGTAGCTACTGTTTTCATAATTGGTGTAGCCGACTCCCCAATGGGTAGCGTCATTGTGGACTCTGGGTTCCTCAAAATCCAGATATTAAGCTGTCGATTGAGTTCTTCTAGCCCTTTGGAAAATCATATTCAATCAATTCTAGTTTAGAAAAACCCAAAATCTTTGAATAAATCATGAAGATTTTGTAGAGAAAAACCTATTTTTCAATGACATACAATGTGCCATTTGGCTGAGAACATTTTTAAATCCGATAAAAAATGGCACAAACTTATCCAACAATCCAATAATTGACACCTTGATAAATTACAGCGGTCAGGATGCTTTATAAACAAAAAAAACCAGAAATTTTGAATTTCAAAAACAACTGGAAATGGTAATCGATAACACGAGGATATGCGTTCTTAAAACTCAAAGAACCGCTACTTTTTTCAGGTGTTTAGTGGGTATTCTAGCAAGCATTTGATCTTTGAGAAGCAAAAATCAAGATCAAGGAATTTCTGCCCGTTCAAACCACTGTTAGCTCCATCAAAATGCGGTTGTTGTTCTGGCAAAAACCGTGACTCCAAAGTGTTGCTATCATAAGCGGGTCATATTTCCATGCTAATAAGCCTTCTGTCGGGACAATTTCCAAAGAAAAAACGGAAAGGACGTACACCACAGCAATAGGCCAATTATGCAAAATCAGAACCCTTCAGAAATGAAAGGAATGATAGCAAAACATGTTTTTTCATAACGAGTTCCAATGTAAAATGCGCTATTGACATTCACGAGAATTTGTAAACAAAAGTGATCCGGTTGCAGGCGGTATGTGGATAAGACTGATAAGTCAAAAAATTCTCGTTTTTGCAAATTTGAGGGTAATTGAGCCGATTCTGTTTGCAACCTCCAGCGCACAATGTAAGGCAAGTTCCTTGTAGTTGTAACGTCAAAAAAATGGGTATCTGCTAGTATGTGTAAGTTGGAGTTCTGCATATTACAGCTGAGCTGGTTTTCAGTCTCAATTATAAAGTCTTAAAAGTGGTAAGTTTCAGCTGTATTCAATCAGCAGAGGAGTAATTGTTCACCTCTTCCAATGATATTTCCTCTTCGCCTATTGGGTTTGGAAAACTGCTAAAACCACGACTCATCAACTGAATGATGCGTGCCTAAATTAGAATATAAGTAAACAGAATCACAAAAAAATTATTCGGAACGCGGAAGTTTTTTCTATAGAATGAAAACTAGACCTTGTGCAACTTGGGAAAAGGACCACACCAGAAAAATGGAGCATTAGAGGAAATGACACAGTGTAGTGCCATTTTGAGGAAATGTTAATAGGAAAATTTCGAGTTAATGTAGACTTACCTCCGCAAGAGCTACAGATTCTTCTGTGCCATTGATTGATATTTTTCGAAGAGAATCTCCAGGTTCATCGTCAATCTGAACAATCTGTTGTTCTGCTAGATATAAAAATACTTTCTCGTGCAAAGAACTGCACCTTTACATGAACTCTAAAACTGTGCTGTAGTCGTTTGAGATGACGCCCGTCCTTACCTAGATCAGAAAGTTAGA